GTGAATTCAATGATTCAGAATGGGAGAGGATGTAGAAACGTACGATAAGCTTTCTTGATATCATCAGCCGTAGCATCAACAGCAACTCCAAGTATATCATAATACCCCGTCTCAAGCGGTTTCTCCTGCGTCCCAATCTTCCTTCCCCTCCTCATCCCACCCATACCCTGCCCATTAAGTCCCGCACCACCAGCACCACCAACACCACTACTCGTCCCAGCACTCATCCCACCTCCACCTCCAGCATTAAGGATCTGAGTAGGATAAAAAGCATGCGAGAAAACCGTATGACATTTAAAACATCGTATCGTGAGTAGAGACGCTGGTCGGGGCGTCGGAGAGGGCACTTGGAATTCGAGATGGGAGGTACATTGTAGACAGTGGGTTGATACTCGAGGGATGGGCGGTGAGGAGTCGATTGTTGGATATGAGGAGCTCATGGTGGTCTGGGTAGAGGGGCCAGCCTGCGCGTACCACTCCACACAGGACAGAATGCGGAAGGTGGTGGTAGACGGTCGGCGTTTGCCGGTTCGCTGCTTTGCCTGCTGCCTTCAGCACGGCAGTATTTCCGAGCATAAGGATCCAGGAAGAATAACCATTAACCTGCTAGAGTACTACGAAGAGAGGAATCTACAGCTACAGGTAAATACAACCGGTTTTGAATCATGATCTATGCGTATCTAAAGCTCGTGTAGGTCATAACGTCTAAAAAGTAGTGAGTCCTGCAAAAACACCACGAAACCATGCAAGAATGAACTAGGTGAAAGCATTAACCCAACGATACGATACGACCCAAACCCACTCTCATATAACCTCAACATCCACACTCCTCTCCTCCACAGGCGTCTCCCCACCCAACACCCCCACCTCCTCAACCTTCTTCTCCTCAAAATACGTATCCTTCTCAACAACAGTCATAGGCGTCTCCACATCCACCTTCCCCTCTCCCTCTCCGATCACCTCCACTTCATCGTCAGACCTCTCAACACCCCTCCTATAAAACAAAGCAACCATAAGAGCTTCCAACCCCACAATCCCCAACAAGAACCAAAACGCCGCCGCTCGTCCATGATACTCATCAAACCCTCCCTCCCTCTCTTCCACAGAAGTCTCAATAGAAGTAACAGCCGCTATCCCAATCGCCGACCCAAGTTGTAAAGCGCCGTTTACTATCGCTCCTACTGTACCTGCCATCGAAGGTGGTCCAGTTCGGAATATCGCGATACTACCAACCAACGCAAAAGCTGTCAGTGAGGGGGGAGGGAGGAGGGGGAGGAAACGAACTTGTTATGTGTAAAAGTCAACATGGCACCTGTTGACCCCAAGACGAAAGCGGGGAACACCATAGGCCAATACTTGTCGGGTGTATCAGCCAGCGCTAATAAGACGCAGGCGATCATCATCAATCCCTGCCCAGTAAGTATGAGCCATTTGGGGCTGATGACGCGGGATAGTGGGCCGGTGAAGGACATGGCGAATGCCATCACGCCTATGGGGATCCTGGAACGTAAGAATGAATAGGTGATTATCGATGGCAGTGATGAAAGAAGGGGTGAGTATTGATTGGAGTAACGAAAGAGGTGATGGGCAGTAAAATGAAAGAAGGGGCGAACATCGCCAAGGGGGATAACGTACATATGAATAGCAGCCTCGATAATCTCCCAATGATAAACCGACTGCCACAAATTCGTATAAATCAAAAACACAGTCGTCCACCAAAAGTAAGGCAACAGAGCTGATCCGAAGAGGACGGAAAAGTTGGGTAGGAACCATGTTTTTGGGGGTCTACAAGGTACCAAAAGCAGAAGATGTAATAGTCAGCTTCGACGAAACTCGGGTTAGGAATCGATGTTAGATGGAATACGTACACAGCGGCACCATCCTCGGGAAGGAGAGTCTCCCAATAAATGAAGAACCCAATCAAGGCAAAAGAAATGACAAGCGGGACAATGACCATCGCAGACGCCCAACTCCCCGTAGCTCCCGTAGTCAACGCAAAAATAAACAAAATCAAGGCAACTACAACCCAAGTCCCCATCAACATCACACTCCAAAAGGGGAAAAAGGTCACGCACTAGTCAAAGCCGACACACCAATAATATCCAACCTCTTAAACCTCTCCTTCTGACTCTCCCCATCTCGTTTCCCACTTGGTTGAGGCGGGATGATGAAAACGCAAATGAAGCCTACTGGGATGGCTATTATTGCTACGAACCAGAATACCCATGACCAGGAGGTGTATTGGGTGAATAAGGCGCCTATTAGCAGGCCTAGGACTGTTGGCGCGTAGGGTTGGTATGTGAAGGGGATGGAAGAGTGGGGTGGGGAACACGAACCGTTACCGATTGCACCACAACCTCCAAAGATACCTATTGCACGGGCTTGTTCGAGTGGTTCGGGGAATACTTTTACGAGGAGGGTTAGGGCGGATGGGATGGTTAGTGATGCAACTATTACGTCAGGATATTTAGGTGAGAACTTTATACAGAAGGATGGTGCAAGGAAAGAAGGACTAACCGATGCCCATGAAAGCTCTGAGAATGATGATGATAATTTTGTTGTTGCTGAACCCAGCTCCGGTGGAAATGACACCAAGACCAGCTACTCCTACGATGAAGGCAACCTCTAAACGCCAATTCAGGTCAGAAAAATCAGACAGGGAGAGGTTAGGGATCACGTACTTGGGTTATACAGATCGCTGATTTTCCCGCTCTACAACCACCGTAAGATTAGATGGCCAACGTAACATTTAGCAAACAGAGGAGACTTACAACAAGCAAGAAAGAAGCAAATGTCAATTGAAACGCACTAAACAACCACGAACTCTCGCTCTCGTTGATGTGCAACGAAAGTGTAAGTGCAGGTACCGCTGAGAACAAGGCAGAATTGTTGAAGGAATCGAGGAACTGAGCGAGACAGAACACAATCAAGAGGACGTATTTGCGGGCTTTTGATGTGGGGCGGGGTCGACCTTCGTTGACCAAGGTGACCGCGGGGGAGAGCGGGACGGCATCAACCATATTGACCTAAACGACAGGTGAACAAACTCGAGACGAGGCTAGCTCAAGTTTTGGTAGTCGTTCGATGGGGGAGAGCCAAAGAATAACTGGTCAGGGCAGCAGAGAATTTATGCATAATGACCTGATGATTAAAGAGTGCTGACTGAGCAGGTCGATGACTTGGGCATTGGGCAACCGAGAGCCCCCTGAGGAAGGAGAATAAGTATGAGCCAATGAGATGGTGCGATATTGAGCTTATTACGTGCAGAGGCAATTAGTCTGGTGCAAAACATGGCCGAAAAGATGGCAGGTAAACTCGGACGGGAGCGAGGAACCGTTGACAACCGGCAGGCTTATCGTGTATATCGTCGCCAAATACTATCAGCCCGTCTCACAGTCTAATCCTGGGTACTTCACACGGTAATGCGGATGCTACGTGGGTCACCGTGCATGAAAGTCGACACAAAAATGAGCGGGAGATCCTCGGGTAAATGGATGTGGCGTGCTTTCCTTGGTCACGGCTTTCCCGAAAAGGAAGGCCTACAAGTAAAAAGGCGGGGACCAACGTTGAGCATCATGTCTTTCTGCTCACCAGGTCTTTGCTTTACGTTCCCTTCTGTCGACTCTGGGATACTCGTGCGCTGCTAGAACCCCCCCTTGGTCTACACGAGGCCATTTTACTCCTCGCTTGTTCCTTATCGCGGCATTCAAGGCGAGCTGGGCCATAGCGATTCCTCGGTGATCGTCTACATTTCGTCTTAAGAGGTACTGTGTACCCAATCCATCGTCCGGAATCCTCATATCCGTGAACGTGTTGCGAAAAACTGCGAGCTCCGAGGCACCTCATAGTACTTCTTCAGCTCCATTCGTTCAACGTCTCGCTGCTTTTATCACCGTCCAATCTCCTTCTGCCCTTCCTCGAGGGGTGGCGGCGATGCCCAGGATATTCGAGGCCTTCTCGCCGGCTTCCATGCCGCTCAGCCACCAACCTTTTCCCAAAACTTTCGACTAAATCCACTTCTGTTCCCTTCAAGACACTCGAACAGGCAATTCTTGCGGCCTCTTAAAACCTAGCCCGGGCCTACGAGATAGGATCCTTTCATTGCTATATCACCAGGTCATCCTTCGATCCCGCATGAATCGAACAGACGCATATCACCCTCAGCAACTATCCGCCACCTGACTCAAATGAACGTACACTAAACCTCGGATCGCTTCCCGCAGACCCTGTCCAAGAAACACCCCCCAAGTCTCTTGGTCTCTACGGAACCGACTTGAACCCACAAGGTATAATCCTTTCCCCCACACCAACGTGACAGCAGACCTTCGGATCGCTTCCCGAAAACTATGTCTAAGAAGAACCGCACAACCCTCTCAGTCTCCTCGAACCAGGAGGCACAATTCTCCCCCTACAGCAACACCAACTCACCATACGGTTCTGCATGACTCAAACGCATGTATACCACCCCCAAACCTCGGATAATTCTCCGCAGCGCCATGTACAAACGGGCCCATCCCCTGTCAACTCTCTCGGTCTGCTTCGAATTCGCCTTTCCCGGTCTTCCAGCATGACTCGACCACGTAGATGACTCCCTCCCACTACTCATCGTATGAACATAACATCTAAAACTCGGATCATTTCCCGCACCGTCTTCTCGAATGTGAAATCTCGCGCTGCCTCATTCCCAGATAGCATCCCACCCTACTTCCCCCCTGCTTCTCCAAAACTAAAAGGAAGCTGGTAACTTCTATCAAGCTCCTTGGACTCATCTCGCATACCTTCTTCCAGTACGTGTGCTTCTTACGCTAGGGATACAGTTTCGACGGGGTCCGAAGTCAACAGTCCCAGGATGCCGTGCCAAGCCATTCCCACGCCACATTGGCAGCGCACACGTGCTTTCTCGCGTGGCAACTCCTCTTCGATCAACCCTCCCTCGTAGAATCAACAAAGTTACGGTGCGTCTATCTCAATATATATGTCTTCAAAAGGCGCTAAATCATGGCCTGCTAGCTCAGTTGGTTAGAGCGTCGTGCTAATACCTTGTTAAGGGGGATTTACCCCTACAGCGGGTGACGCGAAGGTCCTGGGTTCGACCCCCATGTGGGCCAAAATAGCTTTTTACTGCTCTTAAGTCGAAGGTCCTGGGTTCGTCCCCCATGTTGTCAAGCTCCTCCTGGGATGCTAGGATACAATTACTTTGTCCAGTGAGGAGACCGGCAAAAAAAGTGCATCTACTTCCAAACATATATGGAGGGCCATCATCTTTTTCATTGTTAAGTCGAAGATCCTCGGTTCGTCCCCGTTGTAATGTGAACTTTGCTGGTACTCTTCTGTCCACCGAGCGAGACGAACAACCGTGACTAATCATTTTCATACACCCCACACAAACGACGGTAAAGTGCACCTCTACACGGGACCAAAACCTCATTCTCCTAAATCCCAGCCCCAGTCCCAGCCCCTAAGTCCACCCCTCGCTCAAAACCCACTCAACTCCAAATCCGTAACCACAACCCTAGTCCCATTCACCAAATACAAACTCAACACCCCATCTTCCTCCAACCTATACCTATCGAAAAGTGGTTCCCAACCACATCCACTCTCCACCTCCCAAACTACCTTCCAATCTCCGAAACTCGCTGCTGAGGTGCTTGAGAGGATGGAGAGGGCTGTGGAGTTTGGTGCGTTTGATGGGAGGATTGCTAGTAGCGTCGTTCCTCCTGCTGGTGATGGTGATGGCGAGGGGGTAGCGGGGAGTGCGACGAATTTCCCACGTTTGCCGATCACGGTGGGCGTGTTGGTTACGTTGTTGATCGAAGGAGGGGTAATTGTGAGTGGGAAAGGTGTACGGGTCCAGGTGCCAATCGGACTCCTCCAGTAATGAAACCTATGATATAAATCAGTACATCAGAATCAGCTGGGGGATGTGAACAAGAACTCTCGACATCTCGAGTTGAAAAGGTCGAGTGCTGGATTTCTCTCCGTACAGCCGAGAGAGAGTTCCCAGTCTGTGGGACGTACCATTGTTCGATCCCAGTTCCATTCTCCCTATTCAAAACGTGAACCCTACCCTCCGCATCAACAGTTTGAGCTTCCTGGTTCAATATACCCCTAACCCCAACAAACCGCATCAGCCCCTCGCTCTCAACCCAAGCCAAAAAAGACGCACCCATATTTCGGTATCGATAACACCGTAATCCCAGCTGAAGTAGGCAAGATGGGTGCTTGAGCAGCAAGTGAAGTATTGGAGATGAGTTGACCCCAGGTGTTGTACCATGTTTGACCTAGATCTGGGGATGATGCGTAGTCCACGTCGTGGTTCTGTGCGAGGGTTAGAGGGTGGTTGAGTGAGACGTGGAAACGGATGAACGAGAGAAGGGGGTAGGAAGGAAAGAAGAAGCTCACATTTTCTGGTCCGTTTGGGCCCGCTTCGACTGCTACGTTCTGACCAATGTCGTTAACGTAGTCACGGTACGTCCTGGTCGATACGAATGAGTTTGGTTGCTCCGATGACCAAAGGGGGCGGGGAGGGGGAGAGGAAGGAAGGATAATGACCAACACACCATGTTACTTGCAGATTTCCTTTATAATCAAAATCTATTCCGTTGATATATGCATTATCTACCGAGGAAGATATCGTCGGGTTAGGGCCAGATGAATTCAAAATCAGCGGTGCGTGGACTTACTATTCACACCCTACACCCCAGAAATCAAATTCATGATTTCGCAAGTAATGAACAAACGAATCAAACGAACCTCCAAATATCGTCCAACCAACTCCCATCCGCTCCACGGGACATACTTGTATAACCAATCATCACCCAACCCACTCCTTCCCACCCTCATCTCGAGTACTAGATCAGCTTCGTTTGATGGTACAGAGGTAGGAGGAAAAGAGAGGAAACGGGGGTAGGTTATGTTGATGAAGTATGTTTGGGGGTCGAGGGATTCGAGGCCTGGGAGGTAGTTCTACAATACATCGAAGGTCAGTTCAGGTTAACCGGATAGAGACGGGGACAGGGACGTACCAAGATGGGACCGAAGAGGGTTGGAGACCATGGGGTGGTAGATGGGTTATTTGCTACACCCGGTTGGGAGATGCGGTAGTTGAATGGGTTGTCGTGTTGGTCAAAGGAGAGGTGGATCGTCCCATCCGTGTGGGAGATTCCTAGAGTTATACTAGATGAACGAGTCAAAACGTTGTCAAATCGGTAGAACAAGTGATGGGAGAGAGGGGGGGGGAATGATAGTTGGGATCAAGAGGAGAATGGCGCATACACGTCATGACCATCATCTTCAGTCTGGTTATAATCCGTGAACGTGAACGTTTCCCATATGGTAGCAGGAGTCGGGTCGAGTGACCGTCGAGAAATCGATGCATGTCTAATCGAAGTATTCGTAGTATCCGCAACCCAAAACACCGCGTACTGATAGCCTTTACAACCCACGGTCAAAAGGGCGACCCCACAGAGCAAGGGGAAAGAGACACACCATTAAAAGTAACCAAAGGATCCTGCTGAAAACTCTCCCCATTCAACCAGTTGACGGTTTGTGGGTCAGGTCCCAAGTCCGTAACCCCAATGATACTGATGCTCCCAGCGGATACAGCGCATATAGCGCTGAGCACGCCCAGGCAGAAACCAAGGGTCTTCCAAGTAGGATAGCACACCATCATGCACGATATGTTTGAAAAATGACTGCATGATGATTTATACGAATTGGAGATGACGAGAAGGAAGCCAGGGAGGAATTCGTGCTCGCCATCGTGACTGTCGACGAGGACCGTCTTTGTTAGTGTTCTTCGCTCGCGGACCGGAGCGTGTGACCAAGGGAAACGGTCATGGCTGCACTGACATGTGCCCTCCGATTGCCATCATCTGTTGTTTCTTTCCACTCCCTTCGTGATTGTTGTGAGGCTTCCATTGCGCTCTTCTTGAATCTGGATGCTCAAATGTCGTAGTCCTTGTGTCCTTGTAGATATCGATAACATGGCAAACAACGACACAGCAATCGATTGGGTGCCTCTTCAACATGTCCCGTTCACTGGGGAAGGTGCCAAGTATGTCATCTCCTCCTCAAAAGCTTCCCAAAAATGTCGAGATCTCGGCGTAGAAGGCCTACTCTCCTCCCTCAACGAAATTGAATCTACCCATCTCACCTTATCCCACCCCGGTCTCACACAACTTCTTCGATCCTTCATAACCCGCGATTACGACTTTGGTGCTGTATATGCTCGCTTACGCAAGATATGGTCGATTTATCTTACAGATGATGACGATCTATCAGACATCTACGATAAATCAGAAGCCCTAGCCACCTCGGACGAGGATCGTCGACAAAGGTCGCTAAGTCCAGATGGTGAGACTATCCTTAGTCCCTACAGAATTCAAGCCAGGGGGATTTGGGACCTCTACGCCCACCGTGTCGTCCCCCTTCACTTCAGTTGTCAATACCTCGGTGATGTCTGGGGCAAACCTAATTATTGGGCTGTATCGCACAGTTGGACAGACCCCATGCCGGGCGTGGACACAGCTGTCAACTCTTATGAATGGCCCGTCCCTCTACCGCCAGAAATCACCCTTGAAGCTGTTCGCACCGAGCTACTCAATCTTGGAGCGGAGTATGTTTGGTTAGACGTTCTCTGCCTGAGACAATTCAGCGCTCTGCCACAAAACGAGGCACTGCGCCCAAAGGAATGGGCTATCGACGTTCCTACCATTGGGAACGTTTATAGCGATGGTGCTTCTAAGGTGGTGCGGTACTATAATGGTCTTGGGAAGGCATTTCGGAAGGACGGATGGGGCGGAGAGAGGCATTGGTTGAAGCGTGCTTGGACCCTGCAGGAGATCAAGTACGGTTCTGTCTCCGCCGGATTGCCTTCAGGGATTGTGGATGTACTGGAAGAGAAAAGTCAAGATGGCAGCACACTATACGACCACCTGGATCGGCTCTTATCCCTCGAAGTTTCGCTCTCCTCACATGGCGACAGCTTGAGGGACTTTATGGCAATTATCCAGGAAATGAGAGGGCGTTACTCGACGAATCCTGTTGATAAAGTCGCAGGGATTGGTATGCTCCTGAGATGTCCGACCTTGCCGATATACCGCGCAACCCAAACACCGGAGCAGGCGTGGACGATGTGCGTGAAGCACTTGAGTCCACTCTTGCAGCGGGAATTATTATTCTGTTTCCCAACGCCAGGCGACCAGGGCATTAAGTGGAGGGTGGCGTGGGACCAACTCATGAAGTGGACCCACCACATTTCGCATGATGGAATATCTACAAACGACTTGGAGATTGGGAAGGAGGGATACGCATCCTACAGGGGATTCGTCCTCAGGAAGTGTACGGTATCAGAATTAGAAACTCCATATGGGGATTCTTGGTATCGGATGATTGCCGTTGAGAAGGGGGGGAAACGTATGGAGTTCAAGTTTATTACCCGAGTTGGGGGTATGCTCGAAGGAGGCGTGTATACTTTGGTGGGGGACCATGACCTGACTTCGTGGGTTGTTTGTAAGTGGGCGAGTCAGGACTACATGTTGGGGAGATTGGAGAAGGTATCAGTGCTCTCAATGGATGAGGACGATGCGCAGGAATTGAGGAGAGCAGGAATATGTAGAGAAAGATTGGTTATTTTCCGTTGATTAATCGAGTTGAAAGAAGATAGTTCACAATTCCTCCGGTATGTTTGAGACAAGCGGGCACCATGAATCAAGTATCCCAGTTGTTACGTCCAAGACTCAAGCAGGAACGACGCCCCGGGCCGCCACAACACGTTGCGCGTGGCTATGATGTTGGGAGAATCGTGCTGTGAAGATGCTATCCTTCACATCAGCGATTCACAGGGGACAGTCGGTACGAGTTATCCCAGTCCAACACAGTCAGAAATCTCATTCCACACCAACACTATTATAGGGCTTGGCTTCAATACTCGAAAAGTCAAAACGACTTCAAGTTCGCGACCGAGTCCAACTCCACTATCCCACCGCCAAATTTACCCTCTGAGCCATGTTCAACACGTCCTTATCAGGCCTTCGCCTTGAAGCCTCGGGCCTCCTAGCCCTCGCAGATCTCCGCACAATTGCTTACCGAACCGCCCTCACAGGCT